AAAATAATGCTACTGGATGGTCTTTTCTTGTTGGAATTTCTAATCAGGCTTAGCAAGTACATGGATGCCTTGAGCGACAACAATTATGTTGTCCATAGTCATTACCATGATGACCCCATATTCGAAAGCCAGGAGAAACTATTGTCTGTTTTGAGTGACATGTTGTTGCTTGAGAATCAAATACCCTTCATTGTTCTCAAGAAGTTGTATAGGAGACTCTTCCCCTGTGATGTTCCCAGTGAGGAAGATCATCGTGTTGCTGAACTTGCATTGGGAGCTCTTGGCTACCCTTTGATTACTCCTACAGCTGGCGTGGCTCACCTCCTTCACCTTGTTCATTTGTCCATAACAAACCAAGAGGAGAGACACGAAACGAGGCACGCGCGGCGAGAGTTGAAGTGTTGTGCTACGAGGCTTCGAGCTAATGGAATAAAAATAAAACCCGCGGAAAGAAGCAATGTTGATTATGCTGATTATTTGAACAAGTTTGAGTTTTTTGATAACTTTGACTTTGAGATAAAATTCAACAACGACGATGGGGTGTTGGAGATTCCTCAGCTGCATATTAAGAAGTCAACGGAAGTCAAATGGAGGAACTTGATCGCCTGGGAGCAAAGCAGGATTGGGAACAGATGCAAATTGACTTCGTATGCATTGTTCTTCCAAGGTTTGATTTGTTGTCCCCATGACATTGAACTGCTTGAGCATGTCGGGGTTTTAGTCAATGAATCCGAGAAAAGTAATGAAGATTTGCTGAAGCTGTTTCATACGATCTGTGAGGGAGTTGAACACATGGATTCGAGTTATAGCGAAGATTGTGCCAAGTTGAACAAATACACGACAACGACTCTATTAACTATGTTGAAAAAATGGCCTATTGTAATTTGGCATCAGTGCAGATGTCTCTTTGCGATTATTCTTTTCTATTGGAAAAATTGGTACAGCATTTTGATCAAGGAACATATCCCTACGGTTTGGAAACTCATTGGAGTGTTGGCAGCTATCGTGCTGCTAGGTCTCACTGTGGTACAGACATATTATGCAGCACGCAGCGATAATTAAAACAATTAGTCTTGTTTGGGTTGGTTTCACGATTGCCAGCTAAGGCAGTGAAGAAGTACAATCTTGAATGGTTTCTAAGAATCACTTGTTGCAGTGTAATGTAATTTAATGTTTGTTCATGAATATTGAGTTAGATTTTGGATGCTTTTTAAGAGTTAACTTCTGTTATAAATTATAAAGAAGCTAGTGGGGCTTGTAAAAGTGGATTTAGTACAGCTGACTTGAAATTTTGCGATCAAATTTCTAATGCACTTCCTTGAAAAAAGTTTTCGCTTCTCGACCATCAATTAATGCATTATCATAGAAGGTATCATCCTTCATTTGAAGTATACTCACAGAAATTTATTTCAATTGACTTGAAATTTTGGAGATATTCCTGCAATTTTGTTTTTAGAATAGAAAAAATTGTCTGAATTATCACTATGTATTAAAAGACTGCCAAATTCAAGGAAATTGCGGTGCGTATTAATACATATTTACTGCAGTGGTAATATAGATAGATCACAAACAGGCCATGGCAACCAAAACTTAAGTTCCAAGGAAGTGACTATACCAATATATTAAACAACCAAAACCAATACAAATAATTTCTACATTAAGTACTGCTAGACAGAAGTACACTACATATTTGATCCTGGATTTCCATATTTGACACTGGATTTTTACATGCAGATTCAGCAAATAGTATCAACCTCTGTTGCCACATGCGCAACCTTGGGAGGAGGAGTACTTCTCCCGGCTTGCCAAAAATAGCTGTCATAAATCCAAATTAAGTTGTTGCTTTGCATTTTCGAAAATGTGGTTCCAGTGACAGTCATATATAGTGGAGCCAGTTGATCAACACCTAAAATACTTGAATAAAGACTGGGGAGTGTGACACCCTCTACCCCAACATATATATACATAATAAAAAATAAGATGATATCACTTAATGTGACATCCTCTACTCCAACATAAATATACATAATAATAAAAAAGAAATATCTTATTGGATAAAAAAAATATTTAAAATTGAAACGAAAATTCCAATAATCATGTGATAAAGAATTCACATTTATGTCCTTAATTCAAATAGTAAATAAAATTACAAAGAATAAATATATATTTTATAATTATAAATCTGGAATAATTTAATTATATTTTATTCCATGTTCCTAAAAGAAAAATTGAAATTTAGCAACTCAAAACTATTAATTAGAAAGTAAAACAACCAAAAAATAGAAACTATATCACCAAATTCACCTATGACATTCACAAATAAAAAAACTAAATCACATATAACCATGTAAACAAACAAAACTCAAAATGAAATATGCTGAGCATGCAAAAACACTAAATACACTTAAATAATACAATCAATCGGAAAACAACAAATGAATGAACCACATAGCAAACAATGTACATTTTTGTAAACAACTAAAAGAAATACCAGAAAAACGGACATAGATCTATTGCATGCTTCCATGCTCACTCAGATTGAAACACCACATTCACAAATAAAACCCTCAACATTAATTCACAAATAGGATCAATAAAAACACCACCAAAATCGACATATCCAAAATGACGAACACACCGATGAATACACAAAACCACTGTGAAATAACGAAATCCCTCTGTTGGAACCCTAATACCTTTTACTAAAACAAACATGCATTTCATACTTTCTAAACAAACTTCAAAAGAAATCCCCTTTTAAAGAGTAACCTCATACAAATGACTAATGAAATGTCGTATGTGGAACGGAGGGTAAACGTTGAAGATACCGTCTTTGATGGACCTTTTGGTAGGAGAGTAGGTTTTCGATCACCGGAGACCGGAGAATGGGAGGTCATCGGAAACAAAAAACAACAAAAAATTAGAGGTGCTTGCAAGAAGATGCGACGGAGAGAACACGAAAAATGAAAATGAAAAAGGGTACGAACGGAGGGTACACGGAAAGTTACCGTCTTTGATGGAGCTTTTGATAGGGAGAGCACCGGAGCCACAGAGATGGGCGAGAGAGAAGATTGAAAAATGAAAATGAAAAGGCAGAGAGGGAAATAAGGAATATAAAACATATTTAAATAGACTGGGGACTATTATTTAAAAAGACCTAATTAATGAGGGTTAAATAATAAATATTAAAACATTGTTAAAAAATACAAGTGCTGGCAAAATAGCCACATGTCATCTGTTGTATGGTCCTAGTCACAAAGGGTTTTGGTGCCCTCTAAAATAAACTTGCACCAAAGGAATTGCCAAACAACTAACCTATTGTAAGTGAGAGAAGTGGATAATTTCCTTTCAAATTGTGAAACATTCACACAACACGCGGGTGACAATCAAACAACAAACATGTCTCACGGCAATTCTGGGTATATTTTTGTATACGTTTTAATGCATCTATGTTAATATTGAGTCTGTTCTTTTCTCTAATATGTAATTGATTGATTTTCTCATTCAATATTTATTTCATTTTTCTTGTTTTCTTACACTTAAAAAATCAAACCAAAATTTTTCATCTATGAAATCCACATTTTGTTTCACATTGCTTTAATATATTCTCTGGGTTTTATTTTCACGGTTTTCTTAACCAAAGATCACACTTTCTCTTAAACTTTCTTTCTCACTTTCATGTCTCGATTTCCACCTTAGATATGTTCATATATGCGCTCTCTCTTTCTATGTCTATATTCTCACAATTGAATAAACTACATTTTCTATTCCTTTTTGTCCTTTTCGGATTTTTAAGAGCTAGTCTGAACTGATTTAGAGTGTATTTTGAAAACCAATTAAGTGAATGTTACACACTATTTTAAATCCCAACAATTATTGTTTTTTCATTTTGTACTTTGACAAGTGCAAACGCATATAAGGTGATTCCAGTAATTCAAACACACTTTTAATTACAAATGTCATGCTTTTCACATATTAACAATCACACAATTTTGTAATTCACAGCCCAAAACAGAGGATTTTGTTAAATTAGCCAATATCTATCTACACCGCCGAAATAGGAATGACTCAACATTCCTTCAAGATTTCCACAATTAATTACACATTTCATGCTTTTCACATATAAAAAATCGCTCAGTTTAGAGCTACCTAAATTAAGTCATGGTTATTTAAAGTGCACTATCCTATATGATAATTCATTATATGTTATTGAGGCATAATATATATCACATACGTTAGTGGAAGCTGTGTTTTGATAAAAAAAAATAATTACGAAGCTTTCTAATCCCAAACCACACTAAGTTTTTAAATGCAAGTGGTCTCATTCAAAAAGGATACCTATATAATGCTATAACTTATGTCGAGATAAAATTAGGTAATTTTCTAGTTTCCCATTGATATTCTCTGAAAAAAGAGTTTTATTGCTCAAGTTAGAAGCATTTCATGTTAGAGATGTGCTGAAGAACTTATGTTCAAGTGGTCTCCATAGGACCCCTTCACAAGGGAACCAGAACAGACCTACTCTACATGGAAGAGATCAAATGGCGCTGCATGCTATATCTCCTTCACCGATCAAAACAACAACATCCAATGCAAGTCTTAAAAAACTGAGGCATAGCTATGCTCAAGTTAGATGAAATAGTTCGCGCAAGCTACAATGTCGATGACGTTAGGTTCAAACGCAACGACCACGCCAAAATTATGCTGTTGGATGGGTGTTTTCTGCTTGAGCTTCTCGTCAGTGGAACACCCGAAACAAACGAACTGTTACAGTGTAGGTTAGTTGGTCCTAGTCCTGGAGGTGAAGTCATAAAAAGGGAAAAAGGTGTTGTCGGATTTGACCATGCTTGAAAACCAGATCCCCCTTGTGGTTCTAGATAAGTTATCATCAACACTTTTTCCCAAAATAAATGATAAAGTTCGTGTCCAATGGATACATAACCATGCACTTTCCATCCTGGGCTACAATTATAATACTTTGGATTCACGCTTCTCCGAGTTAAAAGCATTTCATTTAGTTGAACTTGTTCACTCCTTCGTGGATAAGGGAAAAAATGAAATCCAGCAGAAAGAAGCAAAGGATCGGAAGTATTATAATTGT